AGGTCGTTCGCCCTATTACAATTAGTGATAATGGATTTTTAATTAAAAATAGTCTATTAGTTTTTCTTTGGACACTATAAATGTTTTAAGGGCAAGAAAATCTTGTTCTTTATAGGAGTAATAACGTATAATTTTAACGTAATTTTTTCGATAGAAAATCCATCTTTTTTTTTGGGTCAACATATCTCCATCTCCTCTCTTCTTGTTCTTTTTTTTTTTAAGTCTAGATTTTCTAAATATCTGGTTTTTGTTAATTAATTTGTCTTACATTTTTGCTGTGGAAAAAGGGTATGGATTTTGCAATAGCGGAAGCAAAAAGACTCGGTATAAAAATGATTATCACCTTCGTCAATAACTATTCCGACTTCGGAGGAAGAAAACAATACGTAGATTGGGCTAAAAGCAAAGGCCTAAACGTATCTTCCGATGACGATTTCTACACAAACCCTCTCATTAAACAATACTACAAAAACCACGTTAAGGTAAACACACAAATTTAACCCAATCTTATATCATCTTTAATCTCTTTAAGACCCAAAACTATATAACCTAAATGATCTTTCTTTGTAGACTATGGTGAACAGAGTGAACACATTTACCAAAGTTGCATACAAAGATGAACCAGCCATTATGGGTTGGGAGCTAATGAACGAGCCACATTGCAGAGCAGATCCAAGTGGAAAAACTCTTACGGCTTGGATTACTGGAATGGCATCTTATGTGAAATCACTTGATTCAAAACATCTACTCACTACTGGTCTTGAAGGCTTTTATGGTGACTCGTCTCCTCAAAAAAAGAATTCTCTAAATCCGGCTGCAGCCAACGTTCTTGGAACCGATTTCATCGCTAATCACAATCTCGATACCATTGATTTCGCATCGGTTCACTCTTACCCGGACTTATGGTACTAATAATAAAGTCCCATATGTTCTTGTTTGTTCCTTGGTTATAAAGATATCATTTTTTAGGGTTTACAAGTTAATTAACCATTCTAAGCTTTTTGATTTTATAGGTTTCCAAACTTAGATGAGAAATCTCGATTGGACTTCTTGAAGAATTGGCTCGAAGGTCACCTCGAAGATGCGCAAAACATTCTTAAAAAGCCTCTAATCCTAGGAGAATTCGGGAAACCGTCGAATACACCAGGTTATACTCAAGCTCAAAGAGATGCAGTCTTCAACGTAACGTTTGATACCATTTACGCGTCTGCACAAAAAGACGGTCCAGCGGCAGGAGCATTGTTTTGGCACCTTATTAGCGATGGTATGAACAATTTTAAAGATGCCCTCGCCATTGTGCTTAGTGACAAAACCTCGACCGTTAATATTATTGGTCAGCAGTCACGGAAATTACGTTTGATTGGTGGTAAAAGAAAGTTAAATCGCAAAATCAAAACTTAAAAGTTTTAAATACTGTAATAATAAAAGTATACATATACTAAAATGATATGAATTCCTAAATTTTTCTATTAGCATTTATATACTCTTTAAAGAAAAATGATGTGAAACTTAAGGAGATGATGCAACATGTGTTTTACCTCAAAATTTATAAGATGAAATGTTTTGAATATAAGATGAAATTAGATATTAGTTTGCATCATTCAAGCACGTGCCTAAATCTCTACTACAAAGCATGCATCCATTGTTAATTGTTATTGCCTGAAAGTGATCTTACAAGTTCTATATATTTGCTCTTGTAATGATCTAGAGAGAAACAGAGCTGTCTTATAGCTTCTCTTTTGTCTTCCTCTCTTTCTGATATCACATCTCTCTGCAACTCAACTTGTTTCTCCAGCTCTTCAACTCTAGCTCTTAGTTCTTCTTCTTCTTCATCGACGTTCTTGTCGGTTCTTGATTCAGATATAATCTCAGTGTCTTTAACACACACCTGGTTCAAATACTCTTCCATTTGCTCGATTTGGATTTCTCTAGATCTCAACTCTGCTCTTAGGCTATCTAACAAATCAGAAGTATAATCGGTCTCCAGTTTCGCTATCTTGGTCTTGCAATCACTCCGCATTTCCGTCAGTTTTGAAACCTCAGCTTCTGACACTTGTAAAAGCTCTGTAGTCACGTCGAGCTCGCTTTCTAGAATCTCAATCTTGCGACTTGAATCTAATAGCTTACTCTCTAAGTCGACAACTTGTCTTTTCTCGGTTTCAATGTCTACCTTACTTGCTTCTAATTCTTTTAGCGCAGTTTCAAGCTCGGCACGAAAGATATCAGCAAGTAAAAAAGCAGACTGGTTCTTCTCAACCTCACAATTTGGTTTCAAACCCCGCACCATTTCGCTACTCGTTTTCCTCCCTGGTGAAACCAGATGGTGTTTAAGAGAGGACTTAAAGGCTCCTGACTCCAAATCTAACTCGTGAGAAGGAGAATTACCGGGCTTAAACGAGCTCGAATGCGCCATTGGAGTTACAAGGGAAGAGGCATTGTTGTGGTCTGAACATGACAGTTTGAGAAGGCCATTGAGCAGTTCCTGGTTCAAATCGTTGTAACGCGCACCGAGAGACTGATATAAGCAAAGAAATTTCTCTGTTGACTCGGGTTCGTTGTCTTTGATCAATCTTAGCATTCTTTGAACATTCTGGTTTATCTCTGTGGATGCAAACATATATTGTTTGTGAATTTTTTGTGATCTAAATTAAGACATGGAATCAAATAAATCTCTATACCTGTTAATATTTCTGCTAATGGATTAGAGTTATGCGGCCATGAGGACGAATCAACAGTCTCTGGTCCTGTRTCTGTGATAGAATCCATCT